CAGTCTCAGATGTGTTTGCATTCTTCTGAACTCCATCATAGTCTCTGATCTTTTAACCTGTTGTGTCAAAGAATCATGCTTCTTTTCCATATCTTGTATTTTCTCATCCATCTCTGTAGCTTTGGTTGCCGTGTCTTGTATCTCTTTCTTGACTCCATCCATCTCCTGCTTGATTGAAGTTAATTCTGTTGTGACCAAATCTTTTATTGCCTTTATGTTTTTTTCCTGCGCTTCTTCCATCTGCTTCAAGTGGACCTGTGTCTGTTTTTCCATCTGTGTTTCCAGCTCTTTTACTATCTTCTCTTCCAGTTGTTTTTGCTGCACCCCCATTGCTTGTATTGCATCCATCATTCTTTTTTCCATTGCTTCCATGGCTGCTTTTGTTGCCATCCTTGAAGACGGTGTGGAGCCTGTTCTTTGCCTAAGAACTGGAACTATTGCAGGGTCTGAGCCAGCTCTCTGTCTACTGCCTCTGGTCTCTGTTTTGGCCGCTCCGTTGGTCTCTACACATTCAACGCTGAATAGTCCTGTTCGAGTTCTTAGACACCCACAGGCAGATTCCGTCTATTTTCGCCTCTCAAAACTTCTCCGTTTCTCTTCAAAAATTAATTTTCTATTTTGGTCCTCCACAAAATGTCGGGCGCAACATATCGCTGGTTTTAAGAGGTAGAGTAGGTCAGTTTCATTTCTTCAGCCGGACATTGGGCACACGCTCACATCCGGTCCGTCCTCTTACCTTTCCGATCGACTTCCTGTCACAATTTGCCCTTCTAGGAGCTCCGTTGTGTGTCTCTTCGATCGGAACAGTTCTTCCGGCCTCCCGACCTCTATTCTCGCGGTACTAGGTAGAGTAGGTCGGTTTCATTTCTTCAGCCGGACATTGGGCACACGCTCACATCCGGTCCGTCCTCTTACCTTTCCGATCGACTTCCTGTCACAATTTGCCCTTCTAGGAGCTCCGTTGTGTGTCTCTTCGATCGGAACAGTTCTTCCGGCCTCCCGACCTCTATTCTCGCGGTACAAATCGTCAGTTTCTCCCTTAAGTTGCGCACTTATCTCAGCTCTCACCGCAGGAATGTACAACAATAGTCTATTTTTCGATTTTAAAACCTTCAATCAACTCGCTTTTTCTCCGAAACCGGATTTCTGGGATTCTCTAGTTGCGCTACGCTTATCAGCTTGGTTTA